TACATTTTTAAATGAGCTTTTTAACCCAACAGTTGGGTTAGTCCATATTTGACCCAACATTGGGTTGAAACAACCCAGCATTTTTTAGAGTGTAGTTTTAGTAAAAATAACAACTCCGCTTCACTGATGGTGCAAACCTAAATATTTTCCAAATGTTTTCCGTCTAGTCAGTGGCACTGCTGCTAAAAATATGAAAATCAAAAAAAGAATAAGAAAAGAAATTAGATCTAGTTGACTTCGCTAACTGACTAGACAGTTGTTGACTAGTCAAGAATCGGGCCATTTGAAGAAGTCCAGTTGTAGGCTGTGGTCTTTTATACTGTAAAAGAATAAATCTTGTATCATTGTGTCTTTTTTTTTCTTTCTTTTTGTAGGGACATGCTGATCTCTGACTTGGATTTGGCCATGACATACACAGAGGTGTGTGAGGAGGTGAGAACGATGTGTGGGGTCCGAAAGGAGATGCCAATTACACTCAAGTGGATTGACGATGAAGGTATATATGACCTTTGAACTTTAGCTGCAGTGACGTCAGCAGAAAAGAAATGCTTATTTAGAAAAAGAGCAAGTTACAATTAATTATTCACAATAAGACCAGGAACATGCATAAAAAAAAAGAAGATAAATTTTGATTTCGTGTGCCTATGGTAAGAGTAAATATTTGAGTCACTTTGGATATAAACGTCAGCTAAATCGGACACTTTAAAAAGTTTTGATACCAGGGACCCCTAAATATGATGATTTCCTTGCAAGGACCCCTACAGAAAATATAAAGAATTTACATTATATTAGGTTTATGATTTTTTAGTTTTTCTCTGATCCTGGAGGTCTCCAGCCCAGTGTTGTTGTTATTATTAAAGAGCAGATCATATGGGTTTTTGAAAAATATCTCTTTTGCAGTTTATAACATAGCTATCCTTAAATGAAAACAGTCTGCAAAGTTGTTAATCAAAAAAGTGCACGATAAATAAAGATATTGTCTCTCAAAAGAGAGAGTCGATTCTGAATCGCCTTAACGAGTCGTCATATTTTCAAATCTTTTGCCTGTTATCGGTATACGTCTGGGTAACACATTTGCATAATCCCTGCCTGCCCACGAAATACGAACAGAGTCTGACCTGCCCACAAACACTTCCGCTAGTTAGTGTGTTTACATCATGTTGAGAAGACGCAAAAATACAATTTGAACCTTTTGTTGTGTGCTCGTCATTTTACCGAGGACTGCTTCTCTAATCTTTGGCTTTTATCTTCATCGGCTTCTAATGTTCTTTATTGGTTCGAACCACAACCTGTAAGTACAATTGATACGTTATGTGTATGTTTTCAGTCGAGTACTTAAAATATCAAGTTTTTTTGCTAATATGTGATGTACACCTAATGCAGCTTTAGGTTATCGGCTTCTAATGTTCTTTATTGGTTCGAACCACAACCTGTAAGTACAATTGATACGTTATGTGTATGTTTTCAGTCGAGTACTTAAAATATCACGTTTTTTTGCTAATATGTGATGTACACCTAATGCAGCTTTAGGTTTACAGGTAAAGCACGATATTGCTGTCTTACTGAAGTACTTCTGATAATTCGCTGTGAACCCACTATTTCCTAAGAATGTGTCGATTAATGTAGACTGACGTTGTTCTAATTACTTCGTTTAATAATAAAGTAGTGTAGCGCACAGACTTTATAATCATTGTGAAATTGCTGTTTATTTTGCTGCCCTATAACCCAGTTATAGGGTTAATGCGGGAGAGACGAGCTGTTCTAATTAAAAGTTAAGACACAGAGCATCTTTTGTCTGTCGTTCTTCAAACATTACAGTAGACATATTTTGGTTTACAAACTGTATTGTTTCATCAGTTAGTCACATTAGCACTCGGCTAACGTATCCACCATTATTGTTTTAAGTGTTTACAGTTTAGCAGCTAAACTTTAGCTGTGGGCACGATTCGCTTGCATAAGTGTTTTTGTATTTTATGCCATTATTTTAAGAACGGATTGGAGCACTATAATATTGTTTTATGCAAAGGTGCTTTGTCAACGGTAGCGCTCGCTAACTTTCTCAAGGACTCCTCTCTGTGCCAATCACAACAGGCTTGGCCAGGTGACCAATCAGAGCAGAGTAGGCTTATGGAAGGGAGGGGTTTGCTCCGAACTTGCTCGGAATGAATTGTTTCGAAATCATTGGCAAATGACTTTAATATTAAATGTATATTCTGTGAAAATTACTATGTTTTCTGACCTTGCATTTAAACCTGTTGTAGAGGACTTCAACACAATATTAGGACACTTTAAAATACCATATGACCTGCTTTTTAAGTAAAACTTAAACTGTTAAAATGTATTTTCTTTATTTAAAATAAATATTAGATGAAAAACTTTGCAAGTAACTGAAATAAAATAAGTTAAAGAGGTACTAAAATTACTAAGACTAAAACAGAAATAAAAATTAAATGTAAAATAATAAAAATTAAAACCACATTTAAAAGAAAACTGAATATATAAAATACTAATAAATACTGTAGTATATAAATAATACTAAAAAACACTGCCCAGGTCCCAGTTTGAATACTCCTGGGATAAATGTCAACTATAAATGTTGAGTATATTTGTAATTTAGAGAGAAAAACTTTTAAAGATTTACTTTAACAGATGCAATATTGCCACCTATTGCCCCTTGATATTTTACAGTATTTTTTTAATGTTGCTGTTTCCCTTGTTGTTTTGTTTTTAAGGTGACCCGTGTACCATCTCATCCCAGATGGAGCTGGAGGAAGCATTCCGGATCTACACCCGGAACCGGTGCTCCGGACTCCTATTGCATGGTACTCATTCACTCAAAACATCTTAAATCAACATATTTTCCCCTTGTTTATTCAATTTTCAATTGTTCTACAAGTAGAATTACTCTATCTGTATTTTTATCCATCTATTTATAAATAACTGAATGCAGATTTAAACTACACAGCAGAAATCCACCAAACCACTAAAAATATCATGTGGACACTACACAACTAAAGCACTTGATAAAAGTCAATTTTCTTTAGAAAACTGAGTATTTGAAATTGACTGTATTTGCTGACCCTATGAATACAGTAGATAAAACCACTGGATTGAGTCACACTCATTTCTCTTTGCCTTTCTTTCTCTGTCTAGTATTTCCAAGCATTCCTGAAAAGCCTGGTATGCCGTGCCCAGGAGAGGACAGTGAGTTAAAAGTCATCAAAGTCTTGCCATTTTCAACATTTTCATGTGCTCCTTGTTTAAAGTGGTCATTCTGTCTGCTGCAGTCACTCAATACAAGAAGCCGATTTAAAATGATCTCTTTCAAGTCTATCCCAGAAATAGTTTTAGTCTGCATTTACTTTTTTCCCCTTTGTCTCGTTTAACAACCTCTATTCATTTATGAATTTGTGATGTTAACAGAATAGTTCATCTGAAACATTTACTCACCCTGATGTCGTTCCAAACCTGTATGTGCTTTTTTTCTTCCATGGAACACAAAAAGAGAATTTTGCACAAAATTAAACTGGTCACACTTTTTATATATATATATATATATATACACGTGTTTGAAATAACATTAGGAAGAGTAAATAATGTCTTTTTTTATTTTTAGGTGAATTATTCCTTCAATGTCTTGTAAAAGGGTAATAGATTCAGTCTTATTGTCGTTAAGGTGATATTTTATGGTGAAAAACATGGCATCTCTCAGTGGGACCGTATAGCACTTTGGTAACTGCACAGTAATCCTGTGTTAATGTGCACTTTTACTGCCCTGAAGGCCAGACGGGGCTAAACTGCCGAGTCAGGACCTTGTGCACAGTACGGCCGCTCCTGAAAGCGTTATGAATTCACGATCATCCTTGCCTGTGGCACAGGCACGATAGATGCCGTCTGCATCATTTGTGTGTGTGAGAGAGTTGTGTATTAATGGTTCCCTGCTGCATCTTGCATGTGTTTATATGTGTGTATGAGGAATGCTCCTAATATGCTTTGTGTAGTTATGAGTGTGTGTGTGTGTGTTTTGCTTTGCATTACATAGAGATGAAAGTACCTTGCATTTCTGTTCTTTGTCTGAATGATGCCTTCAGTACACTGTGAATGTGATCTTGTGTAGTTTGTACATGAGAAGTGTTGGACTGACCCCTTTGATTGCTGTTCTGTAGGTACATAATGACTTGTGGCAGGCTGTTAACTTTACTGTCTGCATTTGTTTCTGTTCTGGTCCACCTTTTTTCTCTCCTTGTCAGCAGTTTGTGCCACATTTGTTGTTGTTGGGTGTTCTCTCAGAGGAGGCAAGAGAGGCAGTGCCTCCTCAGAAAAGAACATAATAATGACCGTATAAATAAAACAAATGTATTATGAGATAAAACAGTGTTTAAAGTAAAAAAGTTTTCTAAAGTGACCATTAATTGTAATAAAACCAAAATCTCGATATGGTTTAGTGTGATTATGAAGTCTCCTAGGTTGCGATTTGATTGAATAAATATATGCACTGTGTGTTTGAGAGTGAAGCGTGGCGCTGTGTTGTTTTACACGTGAGCAGCTCACGATCCAGTGTTTTCAGTGTCTAAAAGCAACTTAGGTCACAGTAAATACTGCTCCACATGAACTCATCTCTGCATGTGCTGCATGGCTTTGGTTTGTTTGTAATGTGCATTTGGGAACATAACATGCACCAAACATCTTCCCAAACTTGTAATGAGAACCGGCTGAACTTTAAGGGCTTTTAATGGTTTAACATTTACAAATGTTAAAAATTAAGAAAGCCATGAATATTGCATTGTCATTTTACAGTTTTAAAGGTAACATATCATGAAAATCTGACTTTTCCAGGTTTTAAGTGCTATAATCAGGTCCCCGGTGCATCTACCAACCAAGGAAACGTGAAAAATATTAACCCAGTAACTTTGTTTTGGGAAGCCTTTTTCTGCAAGCGTCTGAGAAAACGAGCGCATCTGATTTTGCTTCCTTGGTGATGTGGCAAAGGGATTTCATTGTAATATTACCGCCCCTTAATCTGTAAGTTTACACCCATGGCGCCGTCATTTGATTTCGCAAGCGACAACGGTGTACCAGTTTTAATGCCATGGCGAAAGTTTGAGCAAAACATCATAACTGTTCTGTCTTTGGCTGCACAGGCGAGCACAGAACACTATTTAGAGTCCCAGCCTCAGAG